ATGTGCACCTAGTGACATTTTATAGAAATACTTTCTAGGAAGGAACAAACTTTCACCATATATATATATATATATATATATATAGTGGTTTATCCTATTTCAGACATTGGTCGATTTTTTTGTTATAAAATCCAGAACTGTTAGAAGTAATATCCAAAATAACTTGACTTACATACAATTTGGTAAAGAAAAGCAAATAATAAGCATATGATACAAAAACAGTTGAAAACATTTGAAAATCAAGTTCAAGAAAAACTGTAATAGAGAATTATTAACAGGATTTTTGTTATTCATCCCAACTGTGATTGATCGGGACACCAGAAAATATCTACACTCTGACATGAACAAGTTATCTTGAAATTTGTTTTCTTTATCATACTGCATACATAAACGTGTAAACCAACTAGCTCTATTAACCTCAAGCTGAGTAAAAGTTTTACTCAGATTTTTTTGAATCCATGTTTTTCCTTTCTTCTTCTAAGGCTTGATCCAATAGTGCAGACCGAATTCCAGCTTTTTTCAGCTCTTCGATAATCTCTCCACTCTGGTGCATCTGAAGCAAAATGTCACAACCACCTATAAATTGTCCATCCACATATACCTGAGGAATTGTTGGCCAATTACTGTATTCTTTGATTCCTGGAAGAAAAGAAACACAGATAAATAAGAGTTTGAAAGATTTCAGCATTTAATATTTAAACATTTAATCTAAACTGGTTGGTAAGGATACAGTAAAATGTAACTTTCAGTGGCAGAACAATGGCTACTTTGTCTGCATGAGGAATTTAAATAACATTTCCATAAAATCTAGTTTCATGCTAATATTATTATCCAAAATCACTAAACAAGAAACCTGAGATCCATAGCCAAAAAATGAAATACTACACCAGAAATCTTTGAGACAAAGTTATGTTTAACTTATCTTACTTGAGGTCCGATACAAAAATAACGAGAACTCCTTTGGTGGTTATTATATCATCTTAAAAGTAATTACACTCTGTAGCTACAACTGATGAGAAGTTGATGATAAGCACTGATATCCAAAAGTGGATTCTAACATTTGAGAAAACAAACTAGTGATTATCCTTAAAATTACTTATCTAACAAGGCCAAACTAACTTGTTTCATTTACCAAATTTGTTCCTCAAGTGCTTAACATGTAAAAATATTATACTTATCATATCTTAAAAAGACCTTAAACATACGCATTACATTATATAAAATTTCAAAGCTGCTTACAAATTTTAGACAGACCATTCTTATCATATTACTTTTTCTGACTGTTTGCAAGTAAAAAAACACACTACAATACAGTTTGACAATTAAACTGTGATGATTTACATCTGAAATTTGAACATGTTTGTTTGCTTTGAGGTCAAATGACTTAGGCACTGATGGCATGGAAATACACAGCACATCCTCTAAAAACATTGGCAAGTTATATATCTTATAATAACTGTACATCTTTTACATCCTGAGATACCTGAATGAAACACAAGATGAAACTAGTAATAACTGAATCAGAGGAAATATGCAATTCATAATGCAGTTACATACCAGAATAATAAGGGCCAGTGAAATAAATCCACTATTCTTATGTGTATATAGGAATATAATAAACATTATTATTCAGCAACTTGTATACACTGAGATAAGGTGTTTCAATTTCACACATTCTCTCATAGAATCAGTAAAACTATCAAGTAATAAATTTCAAGCATTTAATTTGACTGTGACTCGTATATTTACATTAGAAATGCTACATATAACTTGTGGTCAGAGTGTTAAACTAACTACAGTACAATTAAATCACAAATATATATAAAAGTCTTAACTGACCTAGATCTATAACAGTTAATATTACCCAATTTCCATTATTTTGATTAATTCAAACACAGCCTAACTCTGGGCTAATCAGTTCTACCTAATGCTCCACAGCAGAAGTAGAACAAACCTTGTCTTAAATTCTCATCCTCCAAAACGTTGTGACTATCATAGGTAACACCATGCATTCTCAAAATCTGTACAACTGCATTACTGAAACCACATCGAGGAGCATCAGGGTCACCTTTCATGAAAACAACCACTTTATTTTTCTTTACTAGTTCATCAACATGTTCTTTTGTTCCAGTTGCTGCTGTAGACAAGGGAGTAAAACTAACTTTGCTATGACCATAACTAGTGGTTTTAGAAAGGAAAGTGTTATTCAACATATTACCAGGTCTTGAAGTGCCCGTAGGTTTCAAATTTAACATTAAATATCGATGAAGGCCTGAGGTTGAAACGATCCGACGGCAAACGATAGAGGTTATTATAAGCTTACACGATGACGATGTTCTCGAGCTTGCTCTTGCGATAATTTCCATTACTAGCTTATAGTTTTACTTTCCTCAAATATTTACGCTTGTTTGCTCAACGTTTTGGGTTGATATTTATTATTATTATGAGCTCACGCTATTCAACAACGCTGTTCTCGAATTTTTGAAACAGACCTCCGTACTAATTGGAACGCTGTAGCATCTTGCCTTATTGCATAAGCATCCTCAGCGTAACATTCACTGCCATCTACAAGATTAAAATGTTGAAAAGGAAAACACATAGAAACATGAAATGTTAATACTAACACAAAAATATATCAATATTGTATTTGAGAAAAAAATATTACTTTGTAAAAAAT